GGGCCCAAAAGCTGGCTAGGAAGGGAGGTACCGGGTGGAGCCTGCAAAACGTGAAGCACGGTGTGGGTGGTGGCTTTGTCTAACTAGTCAAGAGTGAGCGCTGGATGGAAAAGGAGCCTGAGGATCCTCCAAGAAAGAAGCCTTCTCTCTGGGGACTCTTTAAAAGGGCCTTCCTCTGCGCTCTGGGATGAGTGGCAGAAAGAGAGGGGGCTGCGGCCACAGTGCACCTCAAAGGAGAAACGACTAGAGCTTTTCTCTCCTCTTTCCTCCCCTCCCTATCACCCACCTCCCCGCCCCCTGTCCACATTAGCCTTGGGTGGAGGCTCTGGAACTCGGCCTTTCTCAGAACCGGTTTTCTTGACGGCCACTTCCAGACCACTAGGCGCCTAGGCACTGCAGTTCCCACCCTCCAACCCCAAACCTGACCCAGAACAGTGGGGGGTCGCCGCATCCCTCCCACGCAAGACTACAAAACCCGGAGAGCCACGCGCGCCAGACAAGACCAACTCCCAAGCTTGCGGAGGGGTCGCTTGGGGGATGTAGTCCGCCGATCGTGCTGCGCCTCTTGTTTAGAACAGCAAAGAAGGAGTGAACGACTACAATACCCACAATCCTCCACGAGCCACAGGGTCGAAGAGGCGGACGCGATGGCTTCCGGGGGCGGTAGTCACATGCCAGCTCCGGCTAATTAAAAGCAACGGCAGGGAGCAATGTGGGAGACTACAAGTCCCATGGTGCATCGCAGGGAGGCGGTAGCCCAAGCTTTGCAGGCCCCGGCAGAATGACCAGGGCGATGGAAGGCAGTCGTGCTCGCTGCGGGCGTGGGGAAGGGGCTTACCGGTGTGTCGAAGGAGAAGGCGCACTCGTCTTTATGGACCCGGTCTCCAGCTTTAGGGACCCGGATTGTCGGTAATACTGACAGCAGCGCCTCCTCACTCAGCTCCGCCATGACACCGGCAGCTGCTCCTCCACACACAGCGGCTCCCACCGTTCCTAGTCCCCCACCCCCTACTCTTGCGGTCCAATGAGCGCTACTCGTTAGGTGCATGCGCTGAAGGGAAGACGCGCGAGAATGGCAGTTGGACCGAGCCTGCTTACTAGTGCTCCGCCCTCTGCCCTGCTCTGACCAACGCCAATGAAAAGCGCCTCTAAGGCAATCGATGGCCCGAAGAACCAATCCCACTCTTCCAGGACAGAGCGCTTGTAGAGCAGCGAGGCGGGCCCGGGGGGTTTGGCTGCTCGGACTCTGGGAGCCCCGCCAGGGCCTTCGCGTGTCTTCTATTGAAAAGCAGAAACTGACGGTTGTTTAAACCAATCAGTCCCAGAAACTTTCCCGAGGACTCGTCCAATCGGAAAGTCGAAGCGCAGCTGTACTGCTGGCATTTGAAAAGGTTTACCCAATGAGGCCGAGCTGGAGAGGGTTAGTGTCGAGTGATTGCTAACTCCGTCCACCAATAAGGCTGACTAGCTCGCCTCAGCGAAATCCCGAGCTCCGTCTCCGGCTGGAGGTGCACTTAGGAGCGTAACGATTCACGATGGCTTTTTAAGCCAAGTTGTTTGGTTTTGACACTGGAGATGTGAAAAGGCGAACTCGAACCTCCTTCGGCGTCTCAGCCGGAGACGGACAAACGTCGCCCTAACGAGGAGGCGTCGTCCCGCAGCCCAAACGGCGGCCCATTGGCCCCGGGGCCTCCAGGATGGCGTCCTCCCAGCCCAATGGCTCCCCGCACGGGAGGCGGGTCTCGGGGGGCGGCCTATGGGGCCTGCGTCCACTCAGCCAATGGGGTCAAGGCAGGGGCGTGGCGGGAGGTTTGAAACTCAGTTTGGGGAAGCTCAGCTCGAGCTGTGTGTACCCACAGGTTGGAGTTGGGCCGGGTAAGTGGGTAGCGTAATTGGCTGAGGAAGTTAGGGGGGCCGAGCTGCCCGAATGAGCCCCCGGTCAACTGTTATGGTCCCCGCAACGTCCTCCAGCCCAGCGGCCCGGAGGTTCCTCAGCCGGGAACCGGGATGATGGGTGGCCTGGAGTCTGGGTCGCAGAAAGCACTGAGACCTGAGTCACTTCTCGCAGGCACCCCCTCCTCGCCGGGGCCGGGCTCTGCCTCGCCCTGTGCCTCCTCATTGAGATGGGCTCAGCCAAGAGCGTCCCAATCACTCCGGTGGGGCCTCCGCTGCACAACAAGCATCTGGCCCGCGTAGCCGACCCGCGTTCGCCGAGCGCCGGCATCCTGCGCACTCCCATCCAGGTATGGGGGGAAGGGAGCAAGGAACTGAATTCTTGGGCGGCTCCTAACTTGCTTCTGAGAAGGTCCTCACGCCAGCCCCCACGCCCACCCCGAGCCGCCCCCACACTAACCTGAGGCCTTGTTTTCTACCTTCTCAAACCGGGTGGGGTAGCCTGAATGTCTGAGGGCCTTGACGTTGCTGCCTGGAGTATCAGCCTGAGGTGAGAGACCTGGGAGGGAAGAGTCAGGGCCCAGAATTGTTCTAGGCTTTGGTCCCGACAGGTGGAGAGCTCTCCACAGCCAAGCCTCCATGCTGGGGAGCAACTGGAGAGTCCTAATCAGGCCCTGGACTCTGATCCGCGCTCTCCTACTCTTGGCATTGCGCGGACACCGATGAAGACCAGCAGCGGCGGTGAGTGCCCGAGTGCTCAGCACTGGGAGTTCTGATAAGCTGTCCCCTAGTGCTCTTGGGTGGGGCCAGTAAAGCTGTCCTCTCAGGGGTGCTTCTCAGAGGAGACTCATCTCCCTCTCTTCTCAACACTTTGCCCCTTTTATCTTGATTTCTCCCCAACCTTTCGCCTACCTGAATGAACCCTGAGGCAGGTGGGTGTCTTCTCCCCCCTCACTGAATAGTTGGTATCAGAAGGTCACTGTCTCACCTCACTTCTCCCCCCCAGATCCCCCAAACCCACTGATGAAACAGCTGAGCGAAGTGTTTGAGAGTGGAGCCGCCAGGCTGAATCCCACCACAGAACCTGCTGCGCCCGTGGAGGCACCTACATCTTCTGGACTGGACTTGCCTCTGGGCAACCAGTTTTCCCTTGAGAACCAGACGTCACTTTGGAGCGAGACTGAGCTCTCCAAGCAGGGCTTGGAGGGCAAGGAGGAAACAGGACTGTCCTCAGATACCTCATTGGCCAACCAGGGCTCAGACAAGTCCTTCAGAGACTCTGAATCACCCAGATCTTCAGGTACAGAACTGACAGTGAGATACAGGAGAGAGATATTGGGGTGATGTTCTGGGGTAATGACCTCAGCTGTAAGAAGATGAACTGTAAGTCCCTAATTGTGGCCTTTACCTCTCCTAGGTTCTAAGTACGGTAGACGGAAACCAAAAGGCAAGGTACTGGGGAGGTCTCCCCTCACCGTCCTGCAGGATGACAACTCCCCTGGAACCCTGACATCATGGCAGGTAAAGGGAGAGGGAGAAAGCTTTACTAGGAAATCCACCACAGTGGGTGGGAGGTTTTTTGACTGGGATCTTCCTTTGGAACAACCACCTTCCTCCCCTCCCTCAAATGCTGCCTTTTGCAGGGTAAGCGGCCTTTCCCCCTGAGTGAAAATGTTAGGGACCTGAAGGAAGCGTCCATTCTGGGAGCCGGCGGACTTCCGAAAGCTGGAGGGCGCGCATGGGAGCAAAGTCAGGAACATGACAAGGAAAATCAGCACTTCCCCTTGGTGGAGAACTAGCCCTGTGATAGCCGATGCCCTCTCAGCCCTTCTTTCCCTGGGAGACTGGAAAAGCTCGATCTCTTCAACTCCCCCTAAGCTACCAACTGTGAGAGTTTTATTGAGCTTTTTTTGTGTCTGGCGTGTTTCTTGTGTGTATTAAAGGAAATTATTTCAAATGATTTTTTTTTAAGTGTGATGTCTATCCCTTGCACTGGAGACCTTGTGTTCCCTGGCCTGAGCCCCCATTTTCACCTCCACTAAAACTGCCAAGCCTCTCAATCACCTCGCTAAATTCTGGTCTTAGGCTGAGCTCTGTCTGTGGCTTTTCCTCTTGTTCTCCCTAAATGTTCACTTCTAGAGCGTTAGCTATCACTTAACCCATATTCTTACCTCACCTGGTCTTTCCCAGGTGTGTCGGTCTTATCCTGACCTTTATCCAGCTGCCCCGAAGCCACTTCAAAGTTAGTCTGTCCACAGTTGAATTTATGACGCCCCCCCAAAAGCTATTACGCACCCTCTGTTCCCTACCCTTGTGAATGACAGTATCGCCCACCCAGTTGCCCACACCCAAACCTTGGCTATCGCCTGGAACCCCTTCCTTTTCCAGCCCATATCCATCACTCGGTCACTAGATCCTCACAGCTCATTTTCTCCCTCTCCTTCTCCCTCTGTCCTATCTTGCCTTTCTTGCCTCAGACTCTCCTCCCTCTACTTACCCACCCACACTGCTGCTAGGGTAACCTTTCTGTGAAACCACTGGCCGTGTTACTGCTCTGCTACAAATTTCAGGATAAAGTCTAGACTCTTTAGCCATTCTGTAGACTTTTAGGCATTCAAGGTCTGTAACCACCTGACTCCTGCTCCACAGAATCCCCCTTACAAGCACACCTACACCTGCAGCAGCTACAGTGACTTGTGCGCACACAGCAACCTGGGGAACCTTCCAGCAACCTGGGGAACCCCCCTTCTCCTTACCCATTGCAAACCTTCCTTGGGGGAGGCTGGGGCTTCTGCCTTGATTCTCCTTTTCTGCCCACAATAGGCTGACCCTCAACCTTATCATCACATCTGTAATATATTTTTACTTAAGTGAGACCTGTGTCTTTTGGAACCTGAAGTGGGATGGAAGCCAAACAGCACAGGCATACCAGGGTGCTACACTTTATTGCAGGTGTTTCGGAAGCGAAAAAAGAAGGTAGAAAAGGAGAAAGAATGAAGGAGGAGGAGGAGGCTAAGACCGTCATGTCCAAGCCATAGTCATGGGGCCAAGCACCGGCTCTGGACAAGGGTGAAGGCTCTGGACAAGGGAGGGACCTCAGCTGTAAGCCTATTAGACCCACCAAGGGGTGAGAGGGGTCACTCATCCTTGCTCATGAAGGGAGGCATCAGGACCCTGGAGAGGAGAGGCCCTAGCAGGAAATGGGAGGTTTCTGCTTCCGTGTCCTGGGTACTGCTCCCAAAGACACAGTCCCCACTGCCCTGAAAGGAGAAAGCTGGTGGCTGGGGTAGAGAAGAGAGCCGTAAAGAAACTAGGCAGGGGGGCAGCAGTGGAGAGTATCCGTGGCCTTTTTCTTCCATCTCAGTTCCAGACCTTAAGAAAGCTGTCCCAGGAACCCGTGGCCACAGCCATCCCATCGGCTGTGACCCCCAGGCAGCTGACCCTGTTATCGTGGCCAGAGAGGATGCCTAGGAAAAGGGAAAGGAGTAAGAAAGGGAAAGGAGGCAGGCCGTCTCCCTGTGTGGATTTTGAGGGGAGCATATATGCCCTGTAGTTCCGGCCAGGCCAGGTTGGCTGGACATGACACCGCTCTGCCTCTGGTAGAGACTGGGAGAGGACGCGCTCCCAGGGGAGGGCTTCTCTCTAGAAGCTGAGAGGGGAGGAACAGGAGGGCTGCAGACAGGAGGGAAGGGTTGCTATGCCCTGAGAAAAGCAAGGGCACCTTGGAGGGACTGCAAAGCAGGGAAGGTAACCTTGGACCCTCTGTTCCCAAATGCGGAGACCGGGTCCCAAGAGCACTCAGAAACGAAGCATCAGATTTCAGATTTGGATCCTGACTCACTCTAGCCAGTCAGTCATTCAGCACCTGTCCTCTCCCAAGGAAGCAGCCACACTACCTGATTCAGACCTCTGGCCCAGGATAACCCGAGGCTGGGGGCGGCCCTCACGTCACTCCACAGTGCCCTGATTCTGCTCCCTGCATGCTTCCCAGAGATCGCCCTTCCCTCCAGTGGATACCCCCCACACGCCAGGGACCCAGAATTGACTGGATATCCCAGCTCCACACGCCTGGGGTGGCCCTAAGGAGCTGCTTTGGTAGAGAGCAGCCCTGGAGCGTTGGGCAATGGGGCAGCACCACTTAGCAGATGTTTCTTAAGAGACGAGGAGGCCCCAGGGCACTGGATTTCAAGGTAGAGCTGAGCTACCCAGGGGAGCTGTGAGAGGATCCTTCCGGCTTCAGTGGCAGTTGGTGGGGGGTGGGGGAGCAGGGGAAGCTGGCCCTTACCTACGCGCTCCCCTTTCATGGAGTCCCACACATTACAGTTGAAGTCATCGTAACCTGCGAAGAGCAGGCGGCCGCTGAGGGAGAAGGCCACGGACGTGATGCCACAGATGACGCTCTCGTGGGCATAGGTGATCAGCTCCTGGTCAGCCCGCAGGTCAAACAGGCGGCAAGTGGCATCATCCGAACCTGTGCAGATGGCCTCTCCGCTGGGGAAGAACTGGGGGTACAGGGGCAAGGGGGGTCTGAACTCAGACCTGGGCAGCCTGTTGCCTCTCCCACCCTTCCTGTCCCGTTAAACTGCTCTAACAGCTGCAGCATCACAGGCCACCACTGCCACTGATCACAGGCCACCAGCATGCTGGTAGCTTCCCTGCTGCCCTGCCTTCACTCGCTCCTCTCTGCCATACTGCAGGCGAGAGCACAGGCAGCTGGCCCAGGGCCACATGGTTATGGGGTGAAGCCTGGCCCAGATTCCCCGGGCTACACAGAGGCTAGGTCAGGGCCAGGGACAAACGCATAGCCTGAGTCTCATGAGGAAGCTTTAAGGACGACTCAGATGGAGGGACAGTACTGACAATGGGTTTGTCTCCTTCAGAAACATCAATGCCACAAAGAAAGGCAGCAAAATGGCACCAGTGTGAAGGAAACAAGAAAGATTTGGCACAGAAATGCAGGGCACCTTCGCAGACTTCATCTTGCTATGGATGTGTTTAAAATGATGGCTGACATGTGAATAGAGGGCCCTCCCTGGTGGCGAAATGGGTTGGGGTGCAGAGCTATGAGACTTTTTGCAGCCACTGTGGCACAAGTTCCATCATGGGCCAGGGAGGTGAACCCCATGGTGCAAGAGACCCCTCCTGACAGGTCTGCTGCTCCCCTCAGCAGTGTATTTCAGTATATCTGCCTGTTCTGCTCCCCACTCTGTCTCTGGTGAAGCCTCTCACCCACCACACCTCTGGCTTGTACCTTAGTTCTGTAAGCATGAATAATATAGCTTAAAAAAAATGTGAATACAGATTCTGGAGTATATACTCGGACATATACTCTAGAACATATGGAGTATTATGTCAATGCTAAATTTCCTGGGATTAATAACTATACAATGGCTTTGTTTTTAAAAACATACCTGAAAGTATTTGAAGGTAAAGAAGCTTGTGCCTGCAACTTAACTTTCGAAAAATAAGGGGAAAATATCAACAGAAGGGAGGTATAGCTACATGCAGGTATATGAGCCTGTCCATCCATTCCACCCATCCATCCATCCATCCACCCATCCATCCACCCACCCATCCA